AGGTCGAGGCAAATCACTATTCATAATGGTGAGTAAACCCAAAAACCAAAATGGAACCACAAGGTCTCCATCTTTCACTGTTGTTTGGTCTTTTTCCGCTCTTGGAAAATAAACATTTCATGAGGGAGGGTTGGAGGGTTCTTCAGTTTGTATAGGGATAGACATGCATCTTTATGGGGGTGAAGTGGTGGAGAGAGTAAGGCAGCGAGATGCTCGACGAGGGATAGAGGGAGCAGGAAGAAAGATGGTGTTGTTGGGTAGTTCACCGAGAAAGGAAAGAGGAAGGGTGGAGAGGGAGGTTCACAGAAAAAAGTGGGATGGGGCTACTTCACCGTAAAAAAATGGGGAATTAGCATGGCTCACACCTCACGGAAAAGCAGGTTCACCTCAAGAAGCCATGGCACGCACCTTGCCTTACACAATCGCTAATAGGAGTTAACATTTCTCATTGTTTAGTTATGCACAAAAACCAATCATGGGATGATTAATTCTCAGTTTTGTTTCATAAAATTAATTAATAAAACATATTGCCCAATTTATTATGTTTTTATGTTTTATTTTTGCATAACTAATAACCTTAGAAATGTATTCTAAAAACATCCCCAGTCAAATATAACTTCGGGCTTAAGGTATAAGTAATATGGCAATGCCTAATATATGTAGGGATTCAAATAGAGAAATAGAATCCGCCTATGAGTAGAAGATGAGGATTTTGTGTAAGAGACATGATTCGTTATAAGAACATTGCATTGGATGTCATATGAGTTATACATGTAGTCATCGCACATAGTCATTTTGTGCCTAAAAGTCAATCATCGGATGATTTTGTTTCAACATTGCATCATGTTTATTGAATGAAAGGCATTGCCTAATTATGATGTTTATATATTATTACATGTTATACCTAAACATAATAATAACTTTAGAATATTGTATTTAAAATATTCTCAGTCAAATATTAATGCGGATTTAGGTTGAATTAATATGGTACGACTAGTATATACATGGATTTATATGGAGATATAAAATCCACATATGGTACAAGATGAGATCTTGTGTACCGAACGTGACTCTTTATGACAATGTTTCATTGGATGTCATATAAACGTCATAAGATGTTTCTCATGTGGTCGTTGTAAATTTAATCCTTTGACTTGAGATCATAGAGTTTGCCTTGTGTGAGTGGTGTACTTTGATAAATGATTATAATCATTCTATAACTAGATAACATAATGGTTGTTGGGTAAGCCATATACCACTTAGTAGTACTAGTATGGATCAAGATAATATTTGTTCCTTGTGGATGACAAAAGTGATATCCCTGGGCCCCTTGATTGAATAGTACTGAGAAAATGCATGCATGCTCAGGTGTCGGTATAGGATCATGATATCTATCTTATTAGTATATTCCACAAGGATGACTCATCCATGCCTCATGTTTAATATGGATATTATGAACAAATGGACATAAATGTGTACATTGATAATGATCACATACTTTGCTGATTAGCTAAATTACCAAATTTTATCATTTGGATAATGATGATTATTGCTAGATGTCGTTCTTTCGTTTATAATTACTAGAAGGGTGCTCGCATAATATAGCAAAATAAATCTCAATTTTAATGTTTCATTTTATTATTTATTTATGTCGATATAATACGATTTTTAGTGGTTTTAGAAAACGATAATGTTTTTATTTTTGAATAAAATATAAATTTAATATATTATAAAATTTTGAAAAAGAAAATATACATCAATATTAGTATCAAATTTACTATTTAAAGTTTTGGTTTTTTGTGTAATTTCTTTAATTAATATTTTATTTATAATTTAATTTAAATTTAATTATGAAGTAATTTATTTATTGTTTAATAATATAATTTTTATAAAAATAATAATTAAGTATTTTGTTATAACTAATGATTATCCTAATTATATTTTAGATTTTTTATATTTAAAATGAGATGTTTATCCCGTATTTGATTGTGTTTATCTATAGTTAGTTACACAAATTCAAAATGAAGCTTTAATAAATTGTACCTATGCACAATTTACTTGTAATTATTGAATTTTAAGTAATATGCATCAATAAACAGTACTTTATGCATAAAAAATGGTTTTTAAGAGTTTTTGTCATATGCTTTATAATATAGTATAGATAAACAAGATTTAAAATTATTACCAACATGATAAATTCCTGACGGATCACACACATAAAATATACATCTGAATGAGGAGAACAAATAATTAAAGTGTTTAATTATTATAATTGATTTTGTGATATTTAATCTGATTAAATACAATCACATAAATGCTAGCTTGTATGACAAACTTGTGATAGGATTCACAAGTAGTGACTTATCAACCATATTATTTATTATATATGTAAAAGGGCAAGTATATGTATCACTCTTCCTGACATGATACTTATAATACTTGTTTATTATAAAGCCCATCAATACACTTATATAAATTGAGACCTATCCGGATCGACTCTTTCTCTTTACATTCTACAAGTTGTTCTTTCTCTCCTCCAAGGAGTTGGAGACCGTATCTAGCATTCGGGGAAGAAAGATGATCTCCTCCTTTGGTTTTATACATCAACCGGATCTAGAGCATTTGTGTGCATACCGTAGAGGCAACGCGCTAAGTTTGTTGTCTTAGATTCAAATACAACATCAAAGCTTGTTGCTCGTACTAGTAAAATTTTGAGACACCCATCCTACTCCATTTCATCTGGATTCTCGGAGAAACACAATTATTTTTCTCTGAGTTTATGACTTCCGTATTCTAACACATTTGACTTGAGAACACATAGTTTGATGTGTATGAATGACATACTTTGACACTGGTTCTAATCATTACGTAGGTGACAGAATGATAGTTGGTATGCCATGTATCACATGGTAGTAGTAACGTGTATTATAATATGATTCTTTTTCCTTTCTTTATGATGACAATATTATCTCTAGGACGCTTGATTCTAATTATACCGAGGATATGCATGCATGCTCAGGTTATTAGTTTCATGGCATATTATGTTATATTAGTAGAGCTCAAATCTTGTATTTTAATGTATTTAGAAGTTGATTATTAGTTAGTTTTATGAAGTTCAAATGTAGAGTTTCTGAAAGTTGTACACATGCAGTAATAATCTGTAAACATGAATTTTTAAGATATTCTAAGAAGAAGCAGTAAATGTGTTCATAACATAGTAAATACATATATGAATATATCAGTTTTATGTTTTTCAAACTTCAAGATTCCTCATTTGAGTTACTTGTTTGTCATTTGTATGGACATATAATATGTTATCGTCGAATTTATTTTGAAGTTTACTTTTCACATGTATTTAGATTAATTACGAAATTATTTAGTTTGTTTTTGAATCTTTTTTATTATGTATTTCAAATGTATATGGCCTGTTTATTGTATGGACTATCGATACATTATCTTAGAATTATTTTTCACGTTACGGTTTTATAATTATTGGATTGAAGTGTGTTAGGTACAAGGCATAAACCTGTGACGGACGACATTTCTCGGTGCGGTTTTTTATGGTTTGAGATATATGTAGTGCGGTTTGGGAAAATGCTCAAACCATATTATGATGTATGGTTTGTGGTTTGGCCTTAAACCATAAAACTGCACCGTAAACACCCCTACATAATATATAGCGTTTTTAAAAAACCTAATAAGTTCAAACAATTAGACGGATGGAAAAACAATTTTGAGAAAATATTTATTAAACTTGTTTAAAGTGAAAAAAGGAATTTGATTTTCACATGAACATTAAGCACGATACCAAGTTTTTTTTTTTCTGCATTATCATTACCATCCAATTATAATTGATACATATCATATTTAAAATTCAATACATTAAAAATATGAAAACTAATAAATAATCAGATATACCATGATACTATCCTTATATGGAACTTCCAGTACCGTCTACTAACTATGTTCTCAAAATTGGTACGGTACTACTAGTTAACGATAATTGATATTAATTAAATTAGTAACAATTCATTCGGTATAGTTGATACAAATGTATGTTGGTTTTATTTAGTATAAAATTGTCACCGACAATTGACTGTAAGTATTTAACAACCAAATGTTAAGAGATCTATGAATAAACCATTCCAGATCAGAGTATAACCTTAAAACTCTCTATCTTTTTATATCTAGTTTGCATGTCTTGTGAATTATTATAGAATAAAGGCATGTTTGACAGTTGCTGAATAATTTAGTATAGAATGATTAAAAACCTTTTATGATATAATACAAAATAAAATATAATTGTTTAGAATAAAATTAGGGCTCTGAATGGTTAAGAAAGATCCAAGATACAAAATCATTCAGAGGGTTTTAGAATCATTAAAAGACATTTTTTTTGTCAAACAAGATTCACCGTTTAACGATTTAAATACCGCCTCTTAATAATATATTAATATGTAAACAAACAACTCTTAACTTAATGATTACTACCCAATTACATACGAATACGACATTAATAAATTTTTTGATCATATATGCTTATTCAACTTTTTAAATAAAACAACGGTAAATGTCAATAACCACATTTGTAAATAGGACACATGATTAAAAGGTAAGACTAATCATATGTGATAATTTCTTATGATGTGAACATATATATCATACGGTTCAGCTCTATTCCAATCATGTAAAACTTGACTTAATACCGTATATGCCTATTTCAATATGAAAAGGAAAAAATATATAAATAGTCACAAAACATACAAAAAATAGCCGAAATAAGCGTTGAACCAAATTTTATGACAATTTATACCTCAAAATCAAACTAACATTTGCAAAAATGGTATGACATCACCCTTTGGAGGGCACATCACAGAGGGCTCCATTGTATCAGTCTCCCAACCATTATGAAGGAGGTAAATCGTTTGTCTCAAGGACAGGTGGGTGGTATCTGAAGTCGAACCCCCATTAACCACGACAAGATGCATAGAAACTTCTTTCATTCTTTCCATTCTATATTTATTAACATTTTTACCCTAAGAACATTGATACTAAACATCGAAAGCCCATATACGTTGATTGCATTTCACAATCTATAAATAAATAAATGCTACTACATCGGGTCCAGTTAAATCACATATAGCGAATCTAAAGCATTTACGCATCATTAATTGCTCAAGCAATTGATATCGTTTTACCTGAATCCTCGAATGGTTGTCATTGCATACTCAATTTTTTTTGTGTGGGTCGAGGCCCGGGTAGAGTGCTAAAATATGTTGTGGCATGAAGTCATGCCGCGTCAAGATGCCAACAACCGGTGGCCTCTGCAAAAAAAAACAAGAAAACCCAAGCGCCATTCCCATAAATATAGACCATTTTCATCAAGAATAAATCAAACCCAATGAACCAAGTATATTCAACAAGAAGGGTCCGGAAAAGGTAGGATGTATGCATACTAGAGATAGTACAAAAACCCCGAAGGCAGAAGCCCAAGCCTATGCCAGACCTTAAAGCCCGATTAGGCCAACTTTTTTTCAACGCCCAGTCCAAGCCGAGCCTGAAAAAGCCCAAGCCGTGCCTGAAAAAGCTAGATCAGGCATATTTTCACACCCAAAGCCAGGCACGGGCCAAAAAACCCGTATCTTATGCATCTGTAACAAAGTGCAGATCTTATCTCTATCCCGATGAGTAGAAAATGTTGTTTCGTTTAAGACCCCTCGCTTAAAAAAAAGGTTTTTGAGAAAATAAGTATTCATTATGAATAATACATTGATAGTGCATTATCAGGACGTTCCATGCTTCCCAATTTTCTTTCAAGCGGTTTCTTTATGAAAACAACGAGTCTAACCTTCAAGGTAGAGGTATCGTTTGCGTATAGCTTATCCTCTCAGATCCCATGGGACTTACTGGGTTTATTTGGTTTGTATTCTATACGTTATAAGATGTGAGTAGTAGAATCTAGGACAATCAAAATATACGAGCTTACCCCCGGAGTCTTTGGCACGACACATAAGTGCCGAAGTCCTAGTTCCCTAAACGCGACAGCAGCTTTGGCCAACGACATCGTCTCCACAACGGTATACGGTGATGTGTTAGTAATAGGATGGAGATCAACATACAAATCCATCTCTTCTGGCTTAATATCCAAATCTTCCATCTTTGGCCCCTTCCCTAATCCCGCTTTCGCGAAATCAAACGCATGAAACCTTTGCAACATTTCGGTTCCAGTCAAACATTTATGTTTCGTGAACATCTTTCCTTTAAGCAGGACGATCAAATGAGACCTCAAAACGATCCCACAAAGTTCCGGTGCTTCCAAGAAAGGTGGCTCGTCGATAACAGGAAACCCGTTATGCGTTGTTAACCTTAGAGAATGAACAATGTTACCAACTTTCTCAACACCCGAAAACGTTATCAATGGCCCAGAAACGACATCACCCGCGACCAGATGTCGCATGTATGGTTCAGCATGGGCTTCGAGAAACGGCAATCCTTTCATTCTTACGATCTGATCGTAAACCCCCTTGTTGAAATTATCCGCAACTGATTTGGAAATCAGGAGAACGAGCATCATTAACGGAAGCATCAAGAGATTGTTTGTGAGTTCAAGAAGAATAACACAGAGCGATACGGTCATCCTCATCGTGCCGCCAAGAAATGAAGCTGCACCGAGGAGAGCGAAAAGGCCGACATCAAGATTCGAGATCGAAACAAGAAGTTTTCCGATGAATCGGCCATAGGATGCTCCGGCAAGAATGACCGGAATAAAGAGGCCGGATGGAATTGCGATGCCATATGTTATGATACCGAGGATGTACATTGCAGTGAAGAAAACGAGAAGCGTAGGGATACGGAATTCGTTTGCATTAAGGGAACTAAATAGGCTGCGGATGGCATCATCGTTAGTGTTGAGTAGAAGGGAAGCGAGATCGTTATAGTGATCGGGTGGACATTGGAAGTTTTTGTAATTACCGGATCGGCCTGCTGTCGGGCAATCTACCTCCAAGCCGGTTGGGCACGGGATACACTTTGCAAACCACGGAACACCGTAAGCACAACAAGACGTCAAGAGCGAAATGATAACGACCAAAAATACCCGAAAAACAGGACCTCTCCTGCAAAAATAACAAAATGTAATCTTATCAGATTGGTCAATTGGATGAGTTTATGAAGTTCTTCTTTCCCAACCATAGCTAGCTTATTTTCATTGGAAAAACACTGTTTGGTTAGCCATAAACTACTACAAGTAGTGTTTCAATAAGTTTCAGGGCTTTTTCTTTCCGATTATACTCTAATATTTTTCCAATTAATTTTACAACATGTCATTTTACATTGTCATCTAGCTTATCAGTTATGTTGTATACCAAACATGACTAGTTTATCAGTTAACAATAGCATATTAGCCGATAGTTAGCTTTTCAACTAATAGCTAGTTTATAAGCTAGTTTGCCGAAGGTAGTCTAAGAAAGAAGATGGAGAGAAAGAAGGGCTTACTCATTGACGATGCTATAAGTACGCAAGACCTTGTCCACGAGATAATTATATAAACTTCCGAGGATCCCTCCAACGACTCCAAGTAACATAACGGCCAAAAGATCCACCATGTTATAGTCCGGTATGCTACTGTTGATATCAAACATGATGAGACCCCCTTCTCCAAATAGTCCACACTTTCCAGTTCTACAAAACTCTATAAGCGATCTCAAAACCACAGCTACTACCGCGGTGGTGAAAAACGTTCTCCACAAAAGAGCACTTCGCCACCTACAACACGTTGAATCGTTTTTCATCAGATTAATCGAAAAAATATAAGAGGCATTATTGGAAAAAAGTGGAAAAAAATTAGTGAGCTTGTTGAAACGCTATCTGAAGTAGCTTTTCAAAAAACTAGCTTACGGCTAACCAAAACAAAGCTTTTTCAATCAGCTCCAAGAATAAGTCAGCTTATATTTAACATTTTTGTGGGAAGGAAGAAAGATATGGAGGGAGACCATGAGGCCGCTTCTTCAAGCGCAAAGAGGACTCCGCCAACCGGGGCACGAAAGGCGGCTGCAACCCCAGCCGCAGCTCCACAGGTGATTAGGTCCCTTCGGTCCCTATCGTTCTTAAAATATCTGAGCCATTTCCACGTCAAATGGTACTTGCGCGAGCCACCCTGTCCCAATAAACTGGCTATGCAAGCCCCCGTGTGCACCATTGGTCCTTCCTTTCCCACAACAAATCCAGCAGCAACACCAAAAACCGATCCAAATATCTGTTCAATTTCATCACCATAACATTAGATGTCCAAGACTTGACAACTACGATGGATTAACATTTTAATCGGAAAACTCCCAATTCGGGCCCTCAGCATCCTAAAGATTTTAGTTTTAAGCTAATCAACTATTCAGATGCAGGCTTTACTGAGTATAAAAATTCGACAGGAAAAGCACCACTGGCAGTCATATAGCGGTTTTTATTGGCAACACACACCTTTACGAAGAGCGTACTTGGAGCAAGAATAGAATGTGCATCTATTCCATTGAGATACGCTTTAACTTCAGGTATACCAGATCCCGCTGCTGCAGGGGCGATATAAGCACAAAGAACTGCAGCGCAAATTGCAAGAACCAGATTACAACCAGCAAATGCAGCAAATGCCTGATAATATCTGCACTCAAAACAACAATCATTCATGCTCGCTCTAGAGTTCAAAAAGAAAAGAACATTAGAAATCAAGAGCAAAAAACTTCAAGTTTTATCATCTGGTTTTTACCAAACATAACTAGTTTATCAGCCAACAGTTAACTTTTCAGCTAACAACTTATAAAGAAGTTGGGCTTACTTATGATTAAGCATAAGCTTGCTAGTTAGAAGAAACTTGAAACCAGCAATGTTCTCCACTCCAAGATTGTTGAAAAAGGCCACAAGACCCGTAGCTAATCCTATAAGAAGTGCTAGTGTCCATTTTAAGACAACATATTGAAATATCTGCACCTTCTTCCTTGACCTCCAATCCTGCTTAAAGAGATCGTTTTCAAGAATCCTGCAAAAAGTGGGAATCAAGAATAACAATTAGAAAACAAATAGTAGAAAGTATATATGTCGATATTTCACACTACTACAAAAATGGTTTTTTTACACGCTCACTTTTACACGGTTGTTTCTAAAACCGTGTAAAAATGTGTAAGCATTTTACATCGTTATTTGAGAAAACCCGTTTGAAAAGGTAATGGTTTCTTGAAACAACCGTGTAAAAACATATACATTTTACACGGTTTTGAAAGAAAAACTCTTGTAAAAAGTCTTTATAGTTACATGGTTTTGAATAGAAACCATGTAAAAAGATATTTAAGAAAAAACACAATCATCTACGTTTTTACATGGTTTTAACAAATAAACCGTGTAAAAAGGTTCCAGCCTCTTTACATGCTATCTTTCCATTTAATATACACCATTTTACATGGTTTTAGAAGAGAAACCGTATAAAAGAAGTTATTTAAATGGGTGGTTAATTACAATAATATTATTAAAATTAATAATAATAATAATGAACCTGTGATTCAAAACCAAAAAGAAAAAAAAAATGATCTCAACTTTGTTCTTTTATTTCTTTAAATACAGTGTTGGGTGAATTATGTACTATTGTTTGAGGTACTCACCGAGCTTCTGACCACCATGAATGCAAAAGCATTATGGAGGGAAAGATCAAGAGAGGCTTTCATATATATAGCTTTATGACAGTGTGTGTGTATATGTATATATATATATATTATGTGTATATATAGTTTTAAACGAGATTTGGTTGTGTAGCTAGAAGAAGACTTGAGATCATCTGCATCCGTCTGTTTTCGTGAGACCATCTTTTTATATTTGAAAATTGAAACTTCACAGTAAAACACTACGAAGGTAACCTTCACAGTGATTTTGCTGTGAAGGTTCGGATTATTTTACTTTCACAATGTTTTGCTATGATGAGGTCTCACAAAAACAGGTTGGTCACATTGAAGCCAACCCGCTAGCAGAATGAAGGCTCATATAATTCTTGGCAACTACCATGCATTTGGAAACTGCCAAACACGGTGGGTTTTTACACGGTTCCAAAACCGTGTAAAACGCCCTTTACAACCATGCCAAAAGGATTTTCTTGTACTAGTGTCAATCATAGAACGTGTCGTTAATATGCATTAATAGAAATCAAACCCTGAGGTCACAACTTCACTCTCACACAGTGGGATTTGAAAGTTTTAGTAGTTTTTTCTATTTGCAGATCTTTTAAAAAGTGTTGCCAATCAACAATGTTTACAATCAAACTAGACCGACCCAGTATATCTCTTTCAAAAGTAGTGTCAAATCATGGGATGTATGCAGACAAATCTTAAACCCTGGCTTGTGTATACATCCTACCCTGTGGTCATCCAAGTAAACGGCCCCTAAGTGAAGATCATGGGTCAATAAATTGGAAGAATGTGTAGTGAACACTGAACGTTAAACTATCAGGCGTAACTCAACTGGTAAAACGTTTTGCTATTCAAAGATCACGGGTTTAAGTTCTCTGAGGCTACCAAGGGTTTGTTAGGCTCTTAACTTCAGAATTAGTCAAGTGTGTACCACTTTTACCAAAACTGTCACTTCAGTTGTGAGATTTGTGTCCGTTAAAGGGCAAAAAATCGATACTGAGCCATCAAAGTTCAGAAATAAGCGACAATTTGATGAAAAATAGGTTTAATTTTTTGTGGATGATTGATTCCTTCTCTGAAATTGAAGGCATTAAAGAAATAGATTGAAGATTGAACGAATGCTGTGTGTGTGTATATACAGAGAGACAGAGAGAGAGAGAGAGAGAGAGAGAGAGAGAGAGAGTGTGAGAGAGATAAGAATGATTACTCGTAATCAAGAGATTCGATTGGGCAAACATTGGAACCAACAATGGCAATCTGCGACGACGTATTGATCCTGTTTTTGGAAAGCAGCGGTTCTCTGTTCATCCCTCTTTCATCAAACGCCGATCCATTCCTCTCCATCTTCCCTACTCCTTCGCATTCTATATCAACGTTACCATCCATGTCTATCTCTGTAGATATAGATATAGATATGTATATCTATGTACGCAGACAGAATCAAACTCAGCGTGCTTCATACGAGATCATGGATCCTAATCCTCTTACAATAGAAAAATTTCAGGCCAAATTGAGGTGATGAAATGAACAGAATCTTGAAAGTGTGTGGTTGTTACATTCAGAGAGTATGGAGCTCTGACACTTTGATCTCGGAAAGTAGTTATTCTTCAGATATATGTTGTAGGTGATGAAAAAGCTGCCATTTTTTAGTCGGAACCACATAAATAAATAAATAATATAAGAGAAAAGGAAAGTTGGAGGGACGTTGAGTGGAAGGAGAGAGAAGCGAAGCCTGTTTCATTAATGTTCCATAAATTTCGTAAATCTTTTACACCTATTTTTAGAAACTATAAACAATACTTATTTATATATATATATATAGGGTATATTTTTTTTACAACCTTATGCATTTGTACAACCTTTGCAACCCAATTAATTGAGATATTTATAGAAATGATTGGAGTTCATTTATTATGATTTGAATATTTATGGAATATGAATAGAGTTTATTAATTATGATTAATATTTTATATTAGGAAACAATTAATTGATTAAAAATTGAATGGTTGAGATGAGGGTTGTATAAGATGTAGGAATGGCAAAAGGGTGTAGAATAACATCCCTCTATATATATATATATATATATGTTGGTTATTATACAACCCTTTAAATTTGTACAATCAATACAACTTAATCTTAACCGTTTATTTAATTTGATAAATATGTGATTTCATAAAAGTTTTGATTGTTTCCTGATATAAATTATTGATCATAATTATTAATTAATGAACTCTAATCATCTTTCATAAATATTTAAATCATAATAAATGAACTCTTATCATTTCCATAAATATCTCATTTAATTTGGTTGCATTGGTCGTACAAATGAACAAGGTTGCATTTGAAATATATATATATATATATATATAAGTAATCGTGTAATGCAGCGAAATACATCTCGATTTTAATGTTCTATTTTATTCTTTGTCTATGTCGATGTTATCATACGATTTTATGTGTTTTTAAAAAAACAATAATGATTTGATTCTTGAATAAAATATAAATTTAAAATATATATATATCAATGTTAATATCAAATCAACTATTTAACAGTTCTCATTTTTTATGTAATTTCTTTAATTTTCTTTTATAATTTAATTTAAGTTTAATAATGAAATAATTTATTTTTGGTTTAATAATATAACATTTTATAAAGATAATAATTAAGTATTCTGTTAGAACACAATAACTTTCCTAATTA